TGTAGCATTTTACACTTCAGCGTGCTTTACACGTTTCTTAGCTAGTCTGAAAGGATAGGAGGATCAGAGCTGCAGACAGATATACATTAAACAAGACTTTTCTTCAGTTCTTTTTAGTCAAGTTCATCATTTCTTGAATGTGAGGTTTTTGTAGGTTTTATGGTTTGGGGCATACATCGGGATTGCATAGTATAGCTTGCCTAAGCTAGAAGTACAGGAAACCCTCATTATTCATGGGTTCGGCATTTGCAGTTTGAAATATTCGCGAATGCTGAACCCGCATTTTAAATACACTTTATACATTTCCAGGAACTCCTTGGGAGCTCCGCACTTGCTGCCACCACCTGCCACCGCTGCCGTGCTCCCACCAGCGCCGCCGGAGCCATGCCTGTATCCTCTGCGATATGTTCTTGTATCCCCTGCGAATGGCAAGGGTCGCCTGTAGAGTTTACAGTTTCAATGTGTTGGATATCATCAACCCAGTGATGCAGCCCAGGGTGAAGTTAAATGTTATACTTAGGCCATACTAAGGATACTTAAATTTGAGCATTCCCACATTAAAGCTCCTTAACTCATGCTAATTACCCCTGAGCATCTCAAAGTTATGCCACTTCAGGTGAGGGTTAACTGGGCTGTGCTACCTGGCTCGTGTTAGGATAACTTCTGTCTGCTCTACCGAGATAAAACAAGCAATTTGCAATCCTCCAGCTGCCCAAGATGCTTCCTTCCCACCTTCCCTCCTCCCCTGCCCCCCATTACCCTAGAGCAGGGTTAAAGATAGATGTCCTGGCTCCTAGCCATGCCCCTGCTCACCAGTCCTCTGTGGCAAGTCAGAGCTGTGGAGGCAAGAAACAGTATTAACCCTTAACATATGACTGCTTACAGGACGTTCTAACTTTAACAGCACTTAAAGTTCCACGGATTTGGTGTGGTCTGAGCATAATGCAATTTGATTATGAGGGGCGAGTGCTTGCTGATTAATCATAGGATGCCCAGGAGTTGCCAGTATCCTGCAGCTGTGAAAAAGACCAGCACAATATCCTAAGGAACATTAGGATGTCTGCATGCAGCAGAGACAAGAGATCCTAATAGCATTGTACAAGAAATTGTTATGACCCTTTTTAGTATAGTATGCAGTTCAGGTCTGCATTCAAAAAAGATAAATTGAAACAAGTTGAAAGTAGTTCCACTAAAATAGTTAAGAGAAGGGAAATCCTTTATTATGAAAGAACATTAAAGAAGCTTGGCTTGTTTATTTTAGCAAAACAGACTGAGAGGGAATACAATCACTCGCTAAAACTACAAACATGGGTCAAATATTAGGGAAGACAACAGGGTGTTTTTTTAGGGCTGAAAAACAACAGTGGCACTAGGTCAAATAGCTACACACTAACTACCATAAATTTAGATTGGAACTTAAAAGCTTTCTAATGATCAGAGCAGTGCAGTGTTAGGCAAGGAGTGTACTTCTCCCTAAGACTGAACTGGTTAAATTGATGGGTAGGATGGGAAATTTTGGCGTACAAGTCAGCATGTGTAGATGTAGAGTCGTGTAGTTGCGGCCCCCAGGGCTGTACTGTAGAGTGTAGCTCTGCAATGTGGAAGGCCTCTGTAATCAGGGCATTGCTGATTGTCACTTGGGGCCAGGATGGGATTTTTTCCCTTTATGAGTGTTGCTGGCTTTTATTTCACTTTTCTCTGAGATATCGAGATATTGGGAACAGCTAAGGCTGGGGGTTCTCGACTGAGGGGTGCTGATGCTCTTGCTGGTACTAGTAACCCAGAGGTTTCTCGAATTGTTCTTCTGTTTATCGCCAAATTTGAGGCCAAGAGGGAACTTTTCTGCTGGGAGGTGTATATGTGTATGGGGTGGATGTTTTGGATGTTGTCCATTGTAGTTGCATGTGACTGTTTGAAGTGGCAATTTGGAGGATTATTTCAGATAACGATAGCCAGGGGATGCAGGGGACTTGAGCTGATAGACTAGGAGTCCCTTAGCTTACATTCGTGTTTCATGTTTACCCATGTAAAACGTCTTAAAGCCTTCCTTGCTCTGCCAGTTCCACCAGTTCAAGAGGGATGACAAGCATGAACGAAGTGAATGGGACTGGTCCTATATCAGCTTTTTCTTTGGATCTGCAGTTACTCTAAGGCATTGTGTTATTTCTGCTGCTGTTTGTTATGAATATTTGTGAGTGTAGTTCAGCTACTGAAGTCAGTAAAGGAAGTGGCTCAGGACTGCACAGCAGAATTGCAAGAAGGATCCATAGTCATCAGTTTAGCTGTGTTTGCCTTGATAGGTGTGGGTGGTGATAAAATAAAGGTCTAGTCTTACTGTTTTGTTTCTAAGAACAGGGTCCACTTGCTGTAGTCCTGCCATGCCAGATTGAATCTCTTGTGAGTGGGTTATTGAAGGTATTTCCTTCTCCAGAAACAAGCAATTGCAGCATAGATCAGGTGTCTGAACAAACTGGTAGTCCATTGGCAGGGAGACTGGAAATGGACCCAGAAGAACCATACACAACACCAATGCTACTTGATGCTGGAGATGACATTTGCATGTAGTTACTTGTGGTTTTTGAAGTAAAAATCATTGCTGTTTTAAAAAAGTCCTACTCTGTGCATCATGCATGTGCATGTCTGACTAGGAGGTTGACATTTTATCACATGTCCTTGTACTATGGCTGCATCGTGTTGCACAAGCTGGTATTGAATACACTTAACATGCCACGATGTATATATTTATGCCGACAAAAACTGTCCCCTTTAACTGGAGTGTGTTTGTTAAGAAAATGCTCTAAAAGCATTTCAGATACTTCTAATCATAGTGTTGGAAAGGCCTTCAAAGGCTATCATCTCTGTATGAGATTTGCTGTTACTAAACCAACCCAGGCAGATACCTACTGAATCACTTCATGAAAATCTCCCATGAGTAAGATGACACTAGTTTTTAGTTTGTTCCATTGTACTATGGCTTATGCTGTTAGGAAGTTTTCTTCAGATTTGATCTAAATCTGCTTTGTCCTGTGTCTGAAGAAAGAAACCAGTGAGGTAGCCATGGCATATTATGAAATACTTTGCTAACAGTAACTCAGAAGGATATTAAATAGTAGCAGTAGAAGTTAGACTTCTTAAATCAACATGGCCAGGTGATTAGTACCAGAGAGCTTTAAGAGATAATCAAGAAGGTATTGTGGTAGAGGTAAGGGCAAATGAGTTTCATACCCCTGATCTAAATGACATGGTAGTGGTATTCCCCAAGCCCTTCCTAAACAAATATCCTCACCATTGTGCTCCTACCATCCGAGCTGTACCGGTGGGGTACTAGTATAAGTGCAGCCCTAGAGTGAATTATCTGACCAGTACTCCTTTTTCCATATATGTATCCCAGGGTCATTTCGACAGGCAAAATCACTGGTTTCCTCTAACTAAGTAATTCCCCTAGTAATTACAGGCTTTATAATCTTGGCAGGGACCATAATGATTTTTTTTAAAGGAAAATTGTAAGTTAATGCCTGCACCTTCAAAATAAATAATGTCTCAGAAATCAACAATTAAATTACTTAACTTGTGGTTGCCATAAGAATGGTGGTTTCCCTCTTCCTTTCTGGTTTAAAGCTGTAATATAGACACTGAGAAGTTAATGAAAAATGTCAGTGTAGTGGTCCTCTGGAGAGCAGATTTACACAAATGACTACTTCATTCAATTAATCATACTGGGACTGGTCCAGCAAACATTTAATTGTGTGAGTCATCCTACTGATATCAATGGGATTATTCAAATGAAAACAATTATCTGGCAAATGAGTACCTGAGAACACTAGTGGATGGGACTAGACTGAGCAGCTGAGGTGGCCCCTTCTAGTCCCATTTTCCTACTTGTGTAGGAGCTGGGAGAACGGTCCCATCTGTTCCATATATTCTTGGTCTTATCTATTTCCTAAAATCCTTTACTTAGCATTAAAGAATCAACATTCAGAAGGGTGTAAGAGTACATCATTAATAACATCGTTCACATATCTCTAATAGGCTGCATCTGTGCACCCTGAGGAAAATTAGTGGGATTGCACAAAGATCAATAAGAAGATCATTTTAGATGGAGAAAATTTACTAAGAGCAGTAATCTGTAGAGAAAGGGAATCTAGTCTGAATCTCAGAATCTAAATTGAGTTTGCAGTGCTGGGGCCAAGACATTTTGTCTTAATTTATACATTATAAATGTTACATACTTAACCCGAAGACTAAAGCACAATAAACATGAAAACCAATACTATTTTTATATATCGTACATGTTCAGGAGTGGATCCAGGATTTCCAAAGGGAGGTGCATGAGCAGCAACTTACACTGTAAGGGTGACTGCACCCTGGCTGCCAGCTTCCTCCACACCTACCAGTGCAGGCAGACTGAACCACAGGAGCATCCAAGAAATTTTTTAAGTCCCTAAAGAACGTGAAAACCCCTCTCCCTTTTCCTTTTTGCTCCAAGAAAGGTGCCTCCTTCAACCCCGTTCCTCTGCCTGTTTTCTCCCCTGCTGGGGGGTGGGGAAGCTGCAGACCCTGCTGGGCTCAGCTGGGGAGGCGACAGCAGCAACAGGGTAGCTTGAGAGTAGTTCTCCCCACCCTGTCCTGTCTCAGTGCAGGTGCTGCTGCTGTCCCCATCCCCAGCTGATCCCAGCCTCCTTGCAGGGACAGAAATGGCTTTGGTGCTTCCCCACCCCTGGGATAGTGGAGAAAGAAAGGCAGTGGAGTAGGGAGGGACAGGAGCGAGGATGGGGCATGCTTTTGAGCAGGAAGGGGAAAAGATTTTCACCTGCTTTAGGGAATTTAAAAAGTTCCCAGGGGGTCCCATGGTATGCTCCAATCCAACAGGGGCGTGCAGTCATGCCACTGTACCCCCCCTGGATCTGCCTCTGTACATGTTTTACATCCTGCATCAGACAAAGCTACATCTGGTCTATTTAAATTTGTAGAAAAAAAATCTGTCTTTTTATATCTCACAGGAGGAACCTGCCTGTTTTGAAGGAAGTGAGATGAATGAACACATTAACTGGTTTAAGCAAGAATATGTGAAAACAGAGAGGAACTGGGAAGAAGTTGATAATAGGATGAATATGACATTAGGAATACGAAGAAAGATGATTAATAATAAGGCACCTTTGAAAGAAATTCTGCGCCTGTTTCCATTTCTAAGGTGTCCTTATCAGGTAGTATTCTAGGTCTCTCAATAGCGATGTTGCATTTTATCGTGAAATATAAACAAGCAGCATGTCACCAGGTCAGTTGTTCATTGCCAGGAACGCATCCATCATTACTCAATCTATTCCACTAATGCAATGGTAAATTCATATTGCTGCATCATTTTTAAATATTTGCCCATTACATGTTAAGCTTGCTATACACTATAATATCATACTAGATACTATATGTGTTCTGGTGAAGCCTGAAATACTTACTATTTTTAAAAAAACCCGAAAAAACATTTGTCAGTGTATAATCCTGATTTATTAACCCAGTCGTCAACGTTCGAGCCCCAGTTTTGTTTCGTCTTGTTATGAATACTTCGATAAAATAAGACTTTTTCTCTCTTCTTTTTAGCTTTTTAGGGAGTTTCACCTCCTGACACACATGGATATTTATAAAAAAACAGTTGAGATTTTGGAGATGTATTCTGAAAACATATTGTCTCTGTACTCGGTGAGGAATAATCCAATTAATGTTATGCTGCAAGAAAATCTGAAACAGCACACGGAGGAAGACATTCTGAAATGTTAGTATAAACTGGCTCTGTATTTGAGCGTTGTAGCAGGTAATTGTGTTACAGTAATTAGACTAGCTCTTATGGGTAATGTAGAAACATTGTTTTAAAACTGGTGGCTTCTTGAAAATACACACAAGATAGAGAAATATCAAGCAAAATAAAACCTATTAATAAATGAAGAGGGGAAAATATTAATAAAATGAATAAGATACTGAACTCATGTTTTTCTAATAAGATAACGAAAGAAAAATGTTAATGGGTAAAATAACTATTATAACATGTTTGGCTAATCAGAAATGAAATATTTCCAAATATACAAAAGTGCCTTATTGTATCACAGAGGAATCGTGGACAGAGAGAGGGGCATCTGTTGGAGAAAACCAAATAGCAGAACCTCTTTTCTAAAAATGAAAGAGACATGATCTGAGATATTATTGTTTTTACAACTGAAGTCTGTTCCTGATGAAATAATGGAAAGAAAATTACTTGCTAATAACAGTGCTAATAACTCTGACTCTGGTAGAGTGTGATATTGTTGAATACTCTATGATATTTTTGAATGCTCAAGGTTATTCATTTTGAATGCTCAGGGATATTTTTGAATGCTCACAGTTCCTTGTGATAGAACCATTTGAAAAGCAGTGAGTAGTGTAGCCAGGCAGCAGGATCCTGGTACATGAACATTTGCCACTGTGGGCATAAAAGGGATTACACATCCCCATTGCATTGGATTTTGGGGGAAGAAATGTAATCTAGAATACTAGAGTGTGGCCAGAAGCATGGGAAGTGAGGATATGCAAAGGCAATGCAGTTGAGCTCATTACTAGGAATATGTCTTTTTCCAGAATTGCATTAGCAAATCCCAATAAGCTAGAAGTAACACCTGTGGAAGACGGCTGAAAAGTCCTCTTCAAACTAAGGCTGCTCTCCTGAGATGCAGGAGAATGCTCTCCTGGGATGCCATATCAAGGGTGTAATGCACTGTATGATATTCCCAACAGCAGCTTTGTAAATCTGGCTGGTAGAGCTAGCCGGAGGAAGTGCAACCACGTTATGAACACTGGCTCCATGGTGTACTTGGTAAGTTTGGTTTAAACATCAAAGAAGGAGCATTCAGGAACGTCAGGTCAGTAAGATATTTGAATTTACAGCCTAATCCAGCCTTGTGCTAGAGCAGTGTTTCCCTACCAGTGTGCTGTGGCACAATGGTGCGCCATCAGAAATGAACAGGTGTGCAGTGGAATTTTGCCATGGCAATGAGCTACAATTGAGGATGGGGAGTATGAGGATGGGGAATGCCTTAACAGGTGTGCCACAGAAAATTTTTATTAATATAAGTATGCCTTGGGCTGGGAAAGGTTGGGAAACACTGTGTTAAAGGTATACTCCCA